TGGATTCACTTGAAGTTACAACGGATTCACTTGAAGTTACGGTGGATTCACTTGAAGTTACAACGGATTCACTTGAAGTTGAAAAGGTATGGTGACTAATGCAACCAAGCTTTCATCTAACTGATTTACCTGTCAAATACTAACTTTCATGAGAGCAAGAAGAAGCATCACAGGAGCACAGGTGTGTTCAATTCAACTATTTCGTGTTAATCTCATCAGCTGTGTACACATACATTCAGATCACGTTTGGTTAAAAGAGTGACAGGTTTGGGGACAGTCGAACACACACGAGGAAGAGAAATCAATCAATACGAAGGCCAAAGTTCACTAATGGGAGCCGAATTGGACATTGGGGCAGGGAGTGGAATCATTGTAGGGGGGAAGGAGGCAAGGGACAGTGACACCTACCAGAGCAGCGTGAGGCTAGCCACAAATTCTGTTTGTTTACACAAATCGGGCTTGTAACGTCGAATAGCAGCCGTTTCAGCGAACCGATGATCATGTGGTCATGATGCTTCTTCTTACTTCCATGAAATTGTTTAAGGGAACTAGTTGCATGAAATACTAAATTGCAAACAATGTGTGTCTAAAGTTGCCAGGACAGTAGCCTTTCACTACAAAATCAATTCGTGGTCAGCCTCGAGTTGCGATTGTGTGCAACTTCCTCCCATCCACCCCCACACACACCCCAACTATAATGATTACACTTGCTGACTCTGTGCCAAATCTAGGCTCGGATTGTGACCTTCGATCTTCGTGTTGACTAATTTCTCGTCACAAAATCTCGTTTTCGAACAAATGTAATCCAACTGTACACAACTGATGAGATTACCAATACATTGCCATTGCACCATCATCATTACACAATGTCTTGACGCTCTCATCCACGCTCGGACACCGTTCGGTTCCCGCTTCCTTTGTGAGCTGATTGGATAACTTTCCGTAGTTTTGCGCAACTTCTAACCTCACAACCTAACATGAATGAGTGTCGGATCAACGGTTCGTAAGTGTTTGTGATAGTCTCGTTGTCCAGTCATGTGATGCGGCATCCCTGCTACTGCGCACATAAAGAGCCTACTGGTCACGCTAAAAACTCGAGGTGGTTGGCGGCATGTGTTACGCATGTCATCAGATAGGTTGCCACCGCGAGCGATGTTCGCCGAGACAGGCATTGGGTGGAATTATGCCAGGGTCAATCAAGCTAAAAACTGGCAAGCGGGTATGAAAAACTGAGCCAGGAAATTAGGTCGCATAGTTCCCGTTAGGCTACCTGGCTGGGGACCTCGGGATGATTGTAACCGATGGTTAGAGACACTGATTGTTGTAAACAGTGGCGTTCGTGCATCTTCTCAATTTCTCTGCAGCCCATAGTTTATTGGAGTTCTCGATTTTCTCTTCGAATCTACATTTTAATCTTCCTGTCTTTCCCCTACTGTTCACCCGAATAGGCAACCGAAATCGGCGCACGAAAGTGCATGGTTATTGGTCGTTCGAA